CTGCTTCTTCACCAGTTCCAGCCACATTTATCATCTGGTGTGCCCGCTGTTATATCGTTTTGTCCACTTGGTCTTTCAGCAACTTGAGGGGAGCTGAATATTTTCTCTGTTCTTTATCAGTCTCATGTTGRCTATCCCAGCCCTCCCACCCCACAATTTCCACCGCTCTCCTCCCCGGCACATCTCACTTCTCTCCACTGAATCCTTCCCACTGCAGGGAGCTGCTGAGGAGCTGCAGGGTCCATCCTGGGATTCTCCAAGCACTGACTGCCCATCCACTGTGACCACAGCCAGGGGCCACATCCCACTGCCTGCCCAGTGTCCATCCATGAACGTGAGCACTGTGGCCACACCTCCCACCTCACCCACTGAAGGAGATGATCTGTGTGAGACAGATTTCACTGACGTGGCCATACACGGTGTGACACTGCTCATCAGCCTCTGTGGAGTGGCTGGGAATGGGTCTGTGCTCTGCCTCCTCAGATGGAAAAGCACTAACTTCAAAATCCTCTGCCTGGCTAACATTGACTTGGTCTTCCTTCTCTTCATGTTCCCCTCTGCCCTGCTCTTCCTGCTGGAGGACCTGTCCTGCTCTCTAATCATGTCCCCACTGTACCTGAGAATCCTTATCTTTCTGTCCAGGTACTCATACTGCCTTGGGCTACTCGGGCTGAAATGTGCCAGCTTTCTGACAGCCATTGACAAGCTCTCTGAGCTCCTCTGCCACCGCTGCCTTCACAAGTGTCTGTTGTGCAAGGTGTTCGTTGCCTTCCTGATTTTCGACATTCTCGTCTCTGTCTTTCCCGTGACCACATTGCTGTGCCCATCACACGAGCAGCAGCAGTGCCGGGCAGCTMTCATCTCCATTTTCATTGTCATCCTCCTCCTTGCTGCACTTGAGGTCATTTCCACCACAATCAACTTCATTAAGGCCAAGCGTGGCTCCCAACAGCAGCAGGTCCAAAAGCGTGACATCATTATGTGCCTCTTCGTTCTCCTCAGTCTCYTCTTCACCCTTTGGGATTTCCTGCAACAGCTCGGTTACATCCCTGTGTCCTCCCAGGTTTTTCTCCTTCTCACCTGCATCAACAGCAGCATCAAACCTTTCATCTGCTTCTTGATGGGGAGCTGCGAGAGGCCCTGCTCCTTCGGGTCCCTCAAGGAATCCCTCAAGAGGGTCTGTGAGGAGCCAGGAGAAAACACTGCCAGCAGAAATGATGGCACCATGGACACTGTGCTCTGAGCCTTTTGAATAAACAACATCCAAGCTTTGCTGCAGAGCTTGCCCCTGATGAACAGCGTCCAGAATGGTTCATTCCTTTATTTTTTCACATTYTAAATCCTCTGACCRCAGCCAGGGGTCACATCYCASTGCYTGCCCAGCGTCCATCCATGGAGATGAGCACCGTGTCCCCACCTCCCTCCTCACCCACTGAAGCAGATGATCTGTGTGAGATAGATGTCACC